AATTAAATTCTCAATTTCATTCTTTAGGTAGATATAATTTTGGGTGTTGTGACCAAAGTCTCTATGGAACGCACATTTTTTTGTAGGGGTTTTTCTAGTGTTTTGCCTTAATGACTTTAGCCATCTCAACTTGGGGTCCATTTTGAGATGCATCAAAATCCTCTCTCATGAGATATCCATTGCAATATAGCTTTTATATCTACTCGAGCTTCTAGCCCTAGAGTACCTCAATCTTTTCCCTTTTGAGGGATCGTAGATTCCATTCCCTCTTAGGGGACCATAGACTTTTTTCTCTTTTGGCAAGCCGATGAGGGAGGATTAGCCTTTCTCACCTTGGCTGCTTTTCATTGTAGTTTCAATGTTGATATACTTTTTAGCAATAAGTAGAACATTGGCCAATGTCTTTGGTGGCTCTAGGAAAGGGTGAGGTTGAAATGGTACTTTTTGTCACTAAGTCTACTAGTCAGAGCAGTAACTATGATAACTTGTTCTAGGTCTTTCACTTGAAAGGTTTCCATGTTAAAACATGTGATGTAGTTTTCAAATACTCATTTCGGCCTTAGTAGATCAATATTAAGCTCAAAGTAGTTTTCTTTATCCATTGGCTGCTCACAAATCTATACAAGAATGAGTGACTGAGCTTTTTGAATGTAGTTATTGACCTCAATTCTAAACTGTAGTAGCATGGCCAAGCTACCCTTTTGAGTGCAGTGGCCAACACTTTACACATTAGAGTTTCATTAGCCTATTACATCGTCATATTAGTCCGATTAAAGCTCTAAATGATAAAAAAGGTTAGATATACCATCATATGTCTCTAAGGTCGACATCTTGAACCCATTGCAAGGGTATGGTCCAATCTAGTGAATGGAGATGTCTCCAAAACTCGTCATCAAATGCAAAGGCCTTTCCTTGTAACTTCTTTTCAATGACCTGCATCCGAGCTTTCAACCTTTATTTGGTTCTGTTTGAATTTCTAGGTGGTGGTTTGTGTTAAGGGCTGGGTATGGTAATAGGTGACCAAAGTGGTGTACTCATCATTTTTTGAAGTTGATGAAGCTTTAGCATTATCATATCTCGATAGCTTTTCTACGTGTGAATTTTTTAGGGTGATTAGATCAAGCTTTGGATGTTTGTATTGGGGTGAGGTTTTAAATCATTTCTTTAAAGAACTTTAATTGTTGGTTTAGGGCTAGGAATTGTTTCATTGTGAAGCCTACTGGAGCAAGTCAGTTTATGGGTTGACTAGAATGAGTTTTTGTGCTAGTTGCTATAGTTGGTTCTCTTTCCTCAGTAACTATCTTTCTTGGTAGCATATTGCTTAGCTAGGCTAAATAAGAAGTGTCTCTACTTGGCACACCAAATGTTGGTGCTAAGCTATTCTTTTAAGGGTAAAACACTAAAAACAGAAGAAAGAGAAAAAGAGCTATTGAAGATAAAAGCTGAGAGTATTCCCAACATCTGTGTTCCAACACTTAAGTTAGAAATCGATTAAGAAAAAAAATAGGAAGGAGATTGTAGGGAAGTATAAGAAAAGTAAGGTGGTGAAATGGTATTTGGATGGTGTTATTTATACCTATGAAATGGGGAGTTTTGGGCAATCTAGGCTATCCAAGGTCAATTCTAAAGTTAAGGATGACCGAGTAGGTCGAGCTGAACTAGGTGTTGATCACCCAATTAGGGAATGACGAGTCAACATTCTAGGGAAAGTAGTGAGTAAGCTGGTGAGGTGGCTGAGCTAACGTGGCCTTATGAAGTTAGGTCAGCTTGACACGTCAGCTCAGCCCAAATGTTAAAAATGTCTTTAGTTGTTTGCTGACTGTCTCTAATGAAAGAAAATGATTATTTTGCTCTTTGAACCCAAAAATATCCCTAGCAATACTCATGAGTATTTTTTAACAATACAAAATATAACATTATTTATTCCCAAGGTTTCTTATACAAAGAAGAAAATAGGGGATGGCCTTTTGTAGAAAGACTCTTGTTGAGATGGTTTCTATGATTGGATTTTTTTCAATTGAGGTCTTTTGGTTTTTCCCTATATTATTCGTTTCTTGTGATATATTCGACATTGTTGTTCTCCTTGTTTTTTAGTTGAATTGTTCTGCTCAGATTTTTCTGCTGACACTTTGTTAATGTTTTCAATATTAACTAAAACTATTCAGATTGTTATATAGAAAGGTCGAGAAGGATGAAGGAGAGGACTATATTTTACCAAAAATTTTTATTTTCCTCTTGATTAGAATCTCCTGCCTTTAGTTAATTTAGAATTACAATCACTTGCCTTTAGTTACCATCTTTAGAAAAAAAAAAAAAATTTTAGTTCATATAATGAAGGCATGCTGTGTAGTTAGGATGAAGTTACCTGAAGAAAACACGCTGCTCTTTCTGTACCACCGAACTGTGTGTCTTCTTTGTTGTTTGATGAGGCTCATGGTGTGGTGCCGTATCATGCTTCCTTTTAATCTATGATATTGCCTTTTTTCGATAAAAAAATGTTTCTCCTTTTATTAAGATATGCATGAGGATATTGATACCGGTCTTACTTCTAAATCTAATTTGGCCAATTGAAATTGCAAAGCAAAGAATGAAACAGCCTTGTATTTTTCTTCCTTGAATTTCTTTCATGAAAAAAGGAGATGAAATGTTAAACATCAAGATGATTTATGTGGGTTATCACAATTCATTCTTTCAGCAGTATAAAAGCAATTATTGTCTTCTATAAGTTTCCAATAAAATATGTGTTTGACTTAATATGTTTGGTTGTTTTTCAAGCTTCATAAGAAGATGATACACAAAGATCATCAATTACAAAAAAAAAAAAAAAAAAAAAAAAAAAAAAAACTTATTTTCAATTAGTTTGTTTGGAAGCAGTAACTTGAATTTATTCTTAAAACCTGAATTGCCGACTTTATTATTTCAATTTAATATAATCAAAATCTGAGAAAAATATTCCCCCAGATAAAATGTAAAATAGATAAAACAAGAAGAACGCTTTATTAGCTATTTCTTCTTCAGGAGATGGGGCGAGCGTAGGGGATGGCGGACAAAGGCCGGAGGGGAAAGGAAGGTGGTGCGTCTTGGGGTGCTTTGCAGAAGAAACAATAGACATCGAAAATAAACATGATAATTTTAAACAGAGACACAATATAGTGATAAAATTCAAAAAAAAAAAAAATGAAAGTGATACAATTTAAAAATTTTAATTTATGAAAATAAAAAAATGTTATATTCAACATATCAACATGGATAATGACAACAACTTTTGTTTTTTATATTTTACATGAATCTAACACGAAATAAAAAAATGCACAAATTGCAAGTGCCATGTCTAATTGAAAGGATCTGTAAGCTGCGGCTAATAATTTACTTGAAGCATTGCATCAATGGTCAAGTCAACTAAGAAATGATCCACAATCTTCATGGCCATAGACCGCCCTATCCAAGTTCCACAAGAAACACTCGGAAGGCCACACTCCAGGTTCTTATCTAAATAAAGCATAAAGAATTCATGGAATGAATTTCTCCAACCACACATAGACAACTTTTACAAAACTGCATTAAGGAAAGTAATTATTCCATGATTATAGATTTGATATCCATGGCTCCTATCTTGACCTCTCCAGGATTAAAAAAAAAAAAATTATTATAATATTGACAATGTGGCATACAGAATTTAAATTATTGGTGCCACCACTCAAAAATAGGTCCCAATTTTGACAATGCTAGAATATAAGTTATGTGAAGCTACTGGAAGTATGCACTTTTAAAGAAAAAGAAGATGGTGAGGTCGATGAACAAAATGTTGCTTGTAAGGCTACTAGTGGATAGATGAGCTGAGAGTTTTTTCTCAAAGTATGGTGACTGGTAATACAAAAGGAAAATTCCATAAAAAGCCATTTCATCCGTTTAGTTTGATGAAATGAGAGCTAGGTATTGGATAAACAAATCTTAAAGCAAAAATTTTCTTTTCTTTTTCTTTTACATGTGATATTTAAGTTACAAAATGAGAGATCATCCTCTTCCATCTCATAAATCCAACCTCACCATCCAAAAAGTCATAAGCTCTAACCACTTTGGGACAGAATCCTGTGAAAGATGGCTAGAAAGATGAAAGAAAAACAGAAGACATACTGACAAATTATCATAGAAGATTCCTGTCAAATCGAGTACAAGGGAAAGCCTAAATAACATGATACCGAGCTGTGAAAAGACATCATATCCACTGTTTGAAGAGTAAGTTTGCAGAATGTGCACTAAAAAACCTTTAAACTAACAAAGAGCAGATCCAACCACTTTGCTTCCAACCAACTCATTAACTGAAAGATTAAAGGGTCAAAAAAACCCTCAAAGAAAAATTCAATAATCATTGAAACTCTTATCATCTTTTGCAATTAATTAGACCTTCAAACATCTATTTTTATCAATTGAGTTTTTACTAAACGAAAAATTGTTAACCATCAACACCAATTTTCGTCTACCTGAAAGCTCAATTGAATAAAAATAAATATTTAAAAGTTAATCTGATCTAAAATAGAAAATTTTGGATTTGATTGATTAAAATAAAATGTCAGAAGCTTAAATTATTATTGAATTTTGTTCAAGAGATTTTTGACCCTTCTGTCTAACTGAAACTCATAAGGTGCCTTCCTAGAATACTATTTTAAAGGGTCATTATATTTAAATTCGAATGATAGTCAATAGTTATATGGTGGATGCCTAAATTCAGGAGAAGGGATAGCTTAGTGTCCTCAGTAGAAAGTTTCCGTTAAGAGCATAAAATGGGCTCCACTGGGATAACTCAGTTATTCAACGAAGGTAAAGGAATAAGAGAAGCACTACATGACTGGATACAAAAGGTGGAAAATAAATCATATAAACATTGTTGCCATCATTGTTTTCTTGTTATTTACTTTATAACCATATATGATAATATTTTCTGGATGTTTTGTTCCTCACTCCTACCTTGCTCATCCCTCCTTTACCCATCAAAATATTCCATAGTCATATAAAAAAGAGGTGAAAGCTTCTTATTAATGATTTATAATCAATAGAAAATTTGGAGAAACAAAGGGACTATCAAATTTTCACCTGATTAAACATAAATGACCACTATAGAATTACAGAATAGTCAAACTAAACAGACCCCCCCTTCCAATCACACTCTTCTTCTATCTAAAAGTTGTTGAAAGAATGAATAAATACAATATAACTTTATCAGAGATAATATTTTTAACAACTTGATACAGTATGGAATTTCCTCCGTATGCCTGTTGTTTGACTCTTTGCAGCATAGTTTGGCCTCTTTTACAAATGTGACATATGATCTCAATTACTCCCAAGTTGCAGTTAGCCACAAATAGAAGATGAGGATAACAAGGAGATCTGTACATTCAGCTTCATAATCCACCTATAAACAGCAGAGTTGAAAATTGTAAAATTAATAATAACTCAGCAAGTATACATGAAGTATATCACATGCTGTAAACAGTACCCCCAAAAAATAATAATAATAATAATGAGAGAGAGAGAGAGAGAGAGAAAGAGAGCGCAGATGAAGCTTACTCACTGCACGGTTGGGAATTTACAAATGATCATCGGTGTTAACTTTAATTTGAATTTGACAATCTCACCAATGACACGGGTACCCCAAAACTCCTATATCAAGTCATAGCACTACAAGATTCTTCACATTGTAGAATTAAACTGTCAAGGCAACGAACTGCATGCAAATTACAGTCTTTGTCAAGTTCCTTCAAGAGTGCACTGTGTGTGCAAGAATCAGGCAGAACTTCTCTATCTAGCATTTCTTGGTACAATCTCAAGGACTCTTGCCAATTGCCAATGTCACAGTTCTCATTTATTAATATGGTGTAGCTATACTTATTAGGAAGTATTCCTTTTGCTTCCATCTCAGCAAAAAACTTGTAAGCTTGCCCTATTCTCTTCATTTTGCAAAGACCGTTTATCATAGCATTGTAGGTTATTACATTTGGCAGAATACCCTTCTCCTGCATCTCTGAGAAATACATAAATGCCAATGCTAAAAACCCATTAGCTGCATGTGCATGAATTAGCACAGTGTAAGTTACCACGGACGGAGATAAGCCTCTGCTCTGCATCTCATAGAATATTTCTCTAGCTTTCCTTAGATGTCCACTTTCTAGGTAAGCATGAATGATGGTGGTATATGTTACATGATCTGGAGTAAGACCAATGCTAATCATCTTATGCAACAATTCACTGGCTCCTTTGAAATCACACAATTTAGAATGCCAATGCACAAAAACATTATAGATGATCAAATCAGGAGGCAATCCCTTAGCTAACATTTCCTCTTGCAAGCTAATTGCTCTTGCAGGATCGCCAAACTTCAGTTCACCAACTATTTGAGTTGTGTATGCAAAATGATCAGGCTCCAAACCCTTGTGCAACATCTCATTGAAAAATTCCTTCGCCGCAGATAGATTGCCCATCTTGCAAGATCCATTTACCAAAATCGTATAAGTAAAAACATCAGGGAAAATTCCTTGAGTGATCATGGTATCCTTGAGATGCTGAGCGAGGTCCAAGTCCCCCAGTCTACATAGACCATCAATCAAAGTATTGTACGTAACAACAGTAGGAACAAGGTTCCGACATCTTAACTCATCGAACAAGAGAAAAGCTTCCCAAATGTTCCCTATCCTACAATACCCATAAATTAGAGTATTATATGAAACAACATCTGGTACCATATTCCTCCTCAGCATATCAATAAGCTGCTGTCTGGCATCACTCATTCTCCCCCACGTACAAAGGCCATACATCAATGTATTATATGTTGCCACTGTGTGAGCAGCTCCTTTATTTACCATCTCTTGCCCAAGGCTTAAAGCCTCAACAAGCAACCCTTTCTTAAAATACCCACAAATCAAAGGATTATAAGTGTATGAAGAAACTTTAAGCCCTAACTTTAACATCTCCCTAATAAGTCCCTCGGCTTCCTCTAATTTGCAATTCTTTGTCAAACCATTAATTAAAACATTATATGTCACCTCATTTGGAAAACAACGTTTCCTCTGCATTTCTGATAAGAGCTCAATCGATTGTTGCACTTCCCCTTCCTTGCAAAAGGAATCCAACAGGGTATTATAGGTAATAATAGTTGGCTTAATCCCAAATTCCTTCATCATCCTGTAAACTTCCATAGCTTTAGCTACAAGAGATTTATCCCTAAGTATACTAAGAATCCTATTACAATTCTTCACATCTGGCAAAAACCCATTTCTAACCATCTTATCAAATATCCACATACATTGATCAACCATCAATTTCTTGGAATAAACCAACAACAAAAGATCAAGTAACTTAACTGAAACCTCCAATTTCAAGTAGCCACAAATCAAAACGTCAACAATACCATGCATATGAAACGTAACGACCCTTTCCATGACCCAATAAGCTGATTTCATCAAATTATTCTCAACCAAAATATCAAGCATAACAGAAAACGCTAGCTCAGATCTTTTAACAACAGGTTGCATCTCAACCCACCTAAAAAACCTTAAAGCAATTCTGGGTTTTTCTCTAATCAAATTAAGAACTTTGATAAACAAATGGGGATCAACAATAAGAGCATGGAATTGATTGGAAACCCAGTTGGTGTTACAAAATGCCCAGGGCTTTTCTTCAATGGTGTTAAAGATGAGTTGTTTGTAATGGGTTTCGGAGGGTGAGTTGGTTACAGAGGGAGAGATGGGGAGAGAGGAAGGGCAGCTGCGGAGGAGAGAGAAAGAGAGAGGAACGAGGAAACGTACCTTGAGAGTGAGAGAGAGAGGGGTCGGGGCCAACGCTTTTGAAGCTCTTATGCAGAGGGTCATCGAGGACACATAAGAAGATTGTTGTAATACAATACACCCAATCTCTCGCTGCAAGGAAAGAGGGAAAAGGGGAGGTGGGTTTTGGGTTTAGAAAACTAACAAAGCACCATTGGCGGCGTAGGCTAGGCTCTCTCAGTGTTTGGTTTGGTGGCTAAGCTACGGCCGCACAAGAAAGAAAAATATATTTTTTTTTTCTGAGAGACGGACAAATTTCCTCACTTCCAAAGGTCGTAGTATAAGAACTGCCTGTGGATTCCACTCGAACCAACAAAGTCTGAACTTGCGCCCAAAATGTTAATTTTTCTTTTCTTTTTTCGTTTTTTCATGAGCCTTCTAGAAAAAGAAATAAAATATATTTCGGTTTTGTGTTATTTTTTTTCTTATCATTTTAATATCTAAAAAACTAAAATTTTTAACTAATTAATTAATCGTTCATTTTTCATTTATTTTGATATTTCTGAATAATGAATTTAGTCAACTTAATTATGTAGAATTAATATCAAATTTCTTAAAATTTAAAAAAATCTTAAATATTAAAAAAATCCTAAAAAATCTAAAAATTTAAAATAATCCAAAAACTACGAAAATTGAAAATATTAGTTTTTCTGCATTTTTGGGAAGATTTTAATTTTTATATATTTTTTGAAATATTTAGGATTTTTTAATTTTTTTAGATTTTTTTAAATTTGTATTTTAAAATTTTTGCCCTTTTTTATTATTTTTTTAAAATTTTTTTATTTTTATGGATTCAAAATTTTCTTCTTTTTTTGAAAATTCAGAATTTTTTAAATTTTTCATATTTTTTCATTTTTAAAAAAAATTGGTTTTTATTTTAATTTTTTGAATTTTTTTATATTTTATATATTTTTTCATTTTTCATATTTTTTAAGCTTTTACGATTTTTTAAATTTTTATTATAATTTTTATTTTATTTTTGTTTATTTTATTTTTTAGAATTTTTATTAAAATTTTTAGATTTTATGAATTTTTCAATGTCCCAAAATTTTTTGAATTTTTAAGATTTTTTGAAATTTTTTAAAAATTTTCTTTTAATGATAATATAGTAATTAATGATATTTTGTTCACTAAATTTTTTTTATACGTATCAATTTTTTATTAGATATTCATATTATATTAATAAATTGAGCAATACATATTAGTTTGAGATATTAAAATAAGTAAAGAAATTAAAATTGAAACATATAATTACAAATTTTATTTTTTTAGATATTAAAATGATATAAAATGTATAGTAAAAATATTATTTTTGTATTTAACCCATAATAAAAGTAAAGGAAGTTTTATTGTTGATGCAAGTAAAAAAGGAAAGGGGTGGTGGGTTTTTGGTTTAGAAAAAGTGCCATTGGCTGTATAGGGTAAGCTTTCATTATTGGATTTGGTGACTAAGCCACGTGTGCAGAAGGAAGGAGTTTTTTTCTTTTTTTCTTTTTTAAATGGACAAATTTTCTTTTCAAACTGGTGTCAAAATTGCATGTGTATTCCACTCAAACTAACAACTTTTGAACTTAGACCTAAAATGTTCAATTTTCTTATTTTAATGATCCTTTTCCAAAAATAAGTTATCATAATTTATTTTATGGCATAAGATTTGGATGTGTCAAGAACTCTACCACAAAAATTATAATAAATCATTGGATGGTGAGGTGGTTTTTTTTTTTTTTTAATTTTTATGATTTTAGAGGAAAAAAAAAATGGCTGCCTTCACAGCCATGCTTTTCCCACTAAACTATTAGCAAATTGTTTTCCACATTCATGGTACCCTTAATTTATTGGATGGACCAAAATTTGCATTAAGATTAATTGACAAAATAATTAATTCTTTAAAAAGGCAAAATAGGATAATTATGGCTTGGCAACCAATCGGTTGTAGGTATTACTTAAAAAGGGTTAGTTTTGGGTCCACCTTGGATGAGACAGGTGATTGGATTTGATTTTGGGCTTGAAACAAGCATAAAGAATGACAATTGATTGGCTAATTCCCTAATTGATCGGTTAGGAGTTTGATTGGAATCGAGAATGAATCTAGACAGATTAAAGGTTTCTTTCGAATAAAAAATGAGGTCCCAATTGATTAGCATTATACTTTACAAAATGTCGAAATAATATTTTGGGAACTATCAACTCCAAATGATCAAATCCAACCTCTAAACTCATCCCTTGGCAATGCTCATCTCTCCCTAGCCTTTCCCTATAAATAGGCTCTTTTGATCTTCATTTTTGCATCCATTTTCCTTTCATAGAATCCCTTGAAAACTTGAAAAAAAAGGTTCCCATTCTTCCATTTCTAGCCAAAAGAATACTCTAATCAATCAACCTAACTTCTTTAAACAACTCCTTAGCCTTTACCTAAGCCTTTATTTTATCCTAAACCTTTATTTGATTTTTCTCCAAAAAAGCCTAAATGCTATCGCCAACCGACTAGCTCCAACCACTATCGATCAACTCCACCTAATAGACTCATCCACTACACTTCCTCATTTCATCTTTTCCCTTAAATTGACCTTCTAAATCTTATTTTCTCTACTTTAACCATCATATCCACATTCAAACTACTTACAATATTAACCATAAAACCCTGAATAACTAGATGCTATGCCAATCACTCAGCACCTACCATTGTTAATTGACTTTACTCGTTAGGCTCTTCGACAACACTTCATTGTTTCACTATTTTCTTTAAATTAGTTGATAACTCTATGAAATAAAATTATTTTCAAGGCTTAAATGAGTTAATTTTACTTAGTTCTTGGTAAAATAAGGTTCTTTTTACTCATAATGTGCTCAATTGCCTTTGTGTAGGTAACCTTGAAGAAAAGATTGAATCTTGATGATTGTTTGAAATTCTTGATCAATCTTGATAGGTTCTTAATAAATAGAGAAATTTTCAATTGTTCTTTAAATGTTCTTGATAAATTTTGAAGTTCATGGAAAATATTGGAATGAAAGTGTGATATTTATGTAAGATCAATGATGTCACACCTTAAAGCTTAAGAATGGTTGAATCTTGATAAAAATGAGTGAAATTCATGCATGAATCAAGAAATAGGCCATGATTAGGGGTAGATTTGAAAGTTGTAGGTTTGAGTACAAGTTTACGATATTCTATATAGTGCATAATACATGGGATCACTATGGATGATGTGGTAGTAAGTCTTTTATCAATAGCTAAGAAAGTTAACTTGGATGCTTATGTGGCATGATGACTTAATAGGGATTTAAAATTTGTCCATATTAGAAAAGTCTATACAATCCTTATTTTTCCTATTCAAAAAAAGAATTCCTACTTTGACTTGGATTTTTCCTATTCCCTTTTAAGGTAGGATTTGTTTGAAATTTAAAGAAAGGATTCAAAGTTAAAATTTATGTCTTCTTTCTCTAAGAAAACTTCAAGTTGAAACATAACTCTAAAAAGAGAGAATTCCAACTTTAACTTGATGATCACATTCTAGAAGATTGCCTAGAAGTTCAAACCAACTTAGCAAACTATTTCTCTCTTAAAGAACTCTACTGGCACTTTTATCTTTTACTTTAAGAGAGTTAGTCTTCAAGATCACATCAAGATGAGTTTTGAAAAGAGCCTATAAGGAAGTTCTAATAGAATCAACTTGTTCTCACTTCAAAAAGGCAAGTTGGACTACTCTTATCTTTTAAGAAATCAAAGTTAGCAAGACACCATCAACAAAGCCAAAAAGAGCCACGTAAACAATTGTTCAATATTTTTCAATCAAAATTCAAAAGAGATTCATTTTAGCATAGCAAATATTCAATTTAAAAAAACCTCTACACTTCAAGAAAATAAGCAAGATTGAACCAAAACTTTTCAAGATCAGAAGTTCAAAGCTATTAGCCATAGTTTAGAGTTTCTTTGTATTCTTGTTCTATAAATACATAGGTTTAGCTTTAGGAAAGGCTTAGTTAGGGTGCCAGACCAATCTATCCAAATGTTTAGCTTTTTTTTTTTTTTTTCTATTTTAAGTGTATTTTAGTTCATGATTGGGGTGATAGGCCAACCTATTGTATTCTAAGCTTTCTTTAAGTTCTCTTGTTTTAGTTTTTCTTTAGTTTTCATGTTCTTAAGGTTTTCTTTAAATTGTTTTCAGTTTATTTAAGTGTCAATTTAAGTTTTAATGCAATTTAGGTTTTTGTGTTGTTTTCATTTTCAATTAAAGCTTTCTTAAATTCTATTCTTGTTCTATTCAAGTTTAATTTCCATTTTCAACTTAAGTTTGCTCTTATTTCATGCAATTCATGTTCTTTACTCGTTGTTCTTAATTTAATTTGAGGTTTGAAGTTTAATTCATTAAGTTTAAGTTGTTTGCACTCAATTGAGGTTCATTAAATTTTGTTTTATTCATTTAAGGTTTAAGTTAATTTAATTAGTTAAGTTTAAGTTGTTAGATTAAAGTTAATTAGTACTTGCAAGTTTGTTAGGGTTTAATTAGTTAAATTTAGCTTTTGATTATTATGATTTCAAGTTATGCTATTATTTAATGTCATTGCATGTTAGTTTAATTTGAATGCTAGTAAGTTTCTTAAGTTTAATTAAGTTAATTTTGTTTTAGTTTAACTTAGTTTTTGCATGTTTAATTTGAGTTTTTAGGATGTTGCATTAATTTAATCTACAAATTTAGTTTTCAAGTTAGCTAAAGCATATATATTTTCATATTTTGGTTGATGTTTAGAAATTTTGCACTATTGCTTATTTAATTTGAAATTGCATGATTTAATTTCACTTTTATTATGTTGTTTGCATTAAGTTAGTTGTGTTTTAATGTTGTTTCTATTAATGCATGTTTAAATTTGGTTTATAGGTTGTTAGCTTGTTTTATTTCATTTTGCATTAGTTAAATTTCTGTTTTACTTAGTTAAGTAATTCAAGTAGTTTCTTGCATATTAATACTCTAAATATAGTCAAAAGTGAGACAATTTTCGGTACTTGATTTACACTTTTTCAATCTCTAGGGGAACAAACTTTACTTGTACTTTATTACTTGTTACAATTCTTTGCACTTATAGAAACTCAATCAAGTTTTTGACATCATTGTTGAGAATTAGCATAGTTTATTCAATATTGATACTAATCTCTTATATTGTAGTTCAAAGTTTATTTTTTTTATTTTAATTTATTTAGATTCTTTTTCTTTTGCATGTATAGATCACTATAACAATTAAGATTTTTAGTGGTGATTTTCTTGTGACCGTGAACAATTTTGCCACAAATATTAAGTTTTTTGTGACGAAACTTTTCTGTGACACTATTAAAAGAAATAATTGTGATGTATTTTTATTTTGTCACTAATATATTAGTAATTGTGACGATTATT